TAATGTTTAAAATGATTTTAATGTTTAAGCTTTTTACAGTCTGACTAGTAAGAGCGTGGCAGGCCTATCTAAAAAAAAAATGGCTTATTAGTCTTAATTTACATTGATTGTATTCAGTTGAATTATGGCCTAATGCAATTATATTATATTAATAAGGAGTCCAGTCACCAGTTGCGTCTATGATAAATTACTAAAGAAATCGTATATTCACGTGGCAAAAATCTCCAGATTCGTCAAATTTCGTTTTTTAAGGGGACTAGTCTTTTCCTGCGCGCGCTACGCGCGCAATTCAGAGTTATTGGAGATACATAAACAAGTCTGGAAAAGACCAAACTGGTTTGTTAATCCCCCTAAAATTACAACGTAAGTTCTTTCTTTACTTAATTTTTTAAAAAATTTAAGCATTTATACATCCTTAAAATTTTTTTCCGGATTTGTCTAATTTATAAGATTATTATTTGTTTTTTCCTTTTTTTCCGTTAGTTTTAATTAACAGTCTTCATTTTAAATTATTGATTTTCGTATTTTTTTTATTTTTTTATTTTTCCCCGCTTCTTGAAATAGTCATGAATAGAGACCTAGAAAACAGAGATGCGTCATTGAAGGGTATGGCTTGATTGGCTGTCTAAATCACGTGGTCAGAGAGCCATATTAATTCACTATTGCATCTAATAGATATAGTTTTATAACGTATGTACATATATATATATAGAGAAAAATTTAGACAATACAGTGTCGAAGTGCAATAAAAAACTATTATTATGGTGTAAGTATTCTTATTTGTGTGAATATTTAATATCGGATTTAACCTAACCTAATCTAATCTTTCTACCTTTTGCATCAACTGTCATCAGCTTATTGGTCAAGAGCACTTATATTGAATTCAAATGGCGGTGGTTACCTAACCCAACCGACGCAATGTCGCATCTCTGCTTTCTAGGCCTCTAGTCATGAAGATGATGATTTTCGTCTTCTTTTAATCTTATTCAGTTGTCCTTCGTTTTTTTTGATATTTTTCATTCGTATTTTTTCGAAAAAATCATTAATTTAGTAAAATGAATTCTCAAGCAATCGATACGAACTCGAAAAATAATCACTTGGGGGATGTTACAATCTTTTTTTGTGTGTAACTTATTTTTGGAGGGTGGACAAATGAAAATAACGGGTGGAAAAACGTGGACAAACAGTGGACAAACGAATGTAATAATGATATTACCAATATTCGCATTTACAGATTCCAACTTTACAGAGCTGCTTTATGAAGTTGGCACCCCTAAATGCGAATATTGGTAAAATCATTATTGCATTCGTTTGTCCACTGTTTGTCCACGTTTGTCCACCCGTTATTTTCATTTGTCCACCCTCCAAAAAAAAGTTATGCATAAAAGAAGATTGTAACATCCTCAAGTGATTATTTTACATTATTACGAAAAATATAATAAAAATAGGGTGGACAAATGAAAATAATGGGTGGACAATCACGTGCGCGTTGTGGACAAATGATACCCGTACATAATTATGAAAAATTATCACTTTGGGATGTTACAATTTTTTTTTGTGTATAACCTTTTTTTGCGGGGTGGACCAAAGAAAATAACGGGTGCACAAACGTGGACAAACAATGGACAAACGAATGCAATAATGATATTACCAATATTCGCATTTAGGGGTGCCAACTTCACAGAGCGCTACGCGCGCGATTCTGTTTTTTTTGACCATATAATTTTCTCTTACAAAATTTACACCAAAGCATAGTCGATTAAGCTTTAAATTATAATTACATTTCTTTGCGTCTTATTAAATTCGTCATATTCGGAAAATCTTATTGATTTCCGCAACACTTCCGTCTGCCATATTGAATTTAAAAATTTAGAACACGGAATCAAAATCAGCGTTCGCGGTAACCCCCTAATTTACCTAATTTCGCTGAAATTTTTAAATTTTTATGTATTTTGTAACACTTTCGTCCGCCATTTTGGATTAACCATTTGGAATTTCCTAATTTTGATCACAGATTCGAAATCGGCGTCCGCATAAGCCCCCTTAATCCAAATTTCGCCGAAATTGGAAAACCTTTAAGATTTTCGCATCTTTTCCGTTCGCCATATTGGATAAGTCTTTTTTAATTATCATAATTTTTACCATGTTTTTAAAAGAGCGTCCCCGAAAATTCCTTGTTACCAAAATTCACCATTTTCGGATTACTTTAACTGCCTCAACGAATAGAGGCTTCAAAAAAGCGTGACACGCCAATTTTAAGATATGATCCTAAAGTAGTCTGTATTATCGACTAAATCGTATAATTTTTGTATCGTAAATACTTTTTGTCATACACAGATTCGAAAATCCTTTTACAGAATTCAAGTTTATGCATTAATACGTGCCTGTGAGGTAGAATCTATGCTGAAAACGATAAAAAATTTCAAAATTGAGTTCTTCTTTACTATTTTTTAGTCCAATATGACGCTCCAGAGCTGTCACATACTACGTCGTTGCACATCGTCGTAATAACATTTGTTTTATATAAAAGCTGCGCAATCTGTACTTAAGAAATAGTAGTCCACAGGCATGTAGTTTGCCTGAAGAAACAGCGCGTGGAGTTCTTAAAATTAGATTTAGATGTCTAATTAAAACATAATTACGATACAAAAATCTACGTATATGTGTGGCGTGCATGAGTAAAATATTGATGTAGTGTTAAGTCTGATGCGCGCGTTTCTATGAGCGGCGTTACTGGCGGTATGGCGCGCGCTGCGCTAAAATTTTATGTTGGCACTAATGTATGTACGTAAGGAAGGTTTCATTACTTTGTACAACCGTGAAAAGGACAGAGTCTTCTTAGCATTAAGAATAGAATAAACTCGTACTGTGGTAATTGACTTATTATTCACACTGCGTATTTATTCTAGTCTTAATGCTAAGAAGACTCTGTCCTTTTCACGGTTGTACAAAGTAATGTAACCTTCCTTACGTACATACATTAGTACCAACATAAAATTTTAGCGCAACGCGCGCCATACTGCCAGTAACGCCGCTCATAGAAACGCGCGCATCAGACTTAACATGTAGTGATGTGTCATCGTCTGTGTGTAAGTGCTATTTCCTATATGATTAATTGTCTTAAAGACAAAAATATATTGATAAAAATATATCTACAATATACATATATTGTGAATATACCATACATATATATAAGATACGTATATAAGAACTTTTTTTAATTTTGCTTGTGCCAATATTTTCATGTCATGCTTATATCACTTCTTTTTACTGAAAATGGCGCGACAGCCGCAATTAATTTTATCGATTTTTTTAAGATAACCGATACAAGCTTTGTCTCGTGGATTATTATCAGTATACCATATCTCTTCGATTATTTTATTCAGAATATTTAATAATATATTCGTAAATTTTAGCTCTTATTTTAAGTGCATAATGATAAAAGAAAGAAGGTAGAGATAGAAATCCCTGATAGAGAAAAGCATAGCTAATTGCCGAGCACACTCTTACGATCTGTTGTCGCTCAGCCGGCGAACTTTATTGCTCGGATTACCATCGCACACTTGCCTGGATAACAGATAGTGTCCCCTTCTTTTAATCCATCCATCTGTTCTCTAATACGTTATTTCAATTACAGAAAGCAAAGTTGCAAAATTACGAATAATTTAAAAAGCAACATAATAAAATTAAATTAATAATGAAACATAAACAAATTTTTTTATAAAGTAAATATATAGTATGCAACAATAAATAATTAAAACTAAAGTACAATAAATTTTATTATATTATTATTTTTATTATTATTTTACTATTTTTTGTAACAATTATATTTTTCACGATTAATTAATTTAATTTCTTTTCGACGTTAATTTTACCCCTTTAAAAAGTTAAGTATTCGGGTAGAAAGGTCGGAAAACTATTTGACTAATTTTAGTTAAAATCCCACTATCAAGTATTAACTTTTTTTTGTGTCTGCAATACTTAAACAATATAAAACATTAAAATTTTTAATTATTTTGAGTTCTTATTTCTCCAAAACTACTTCTATACTTAACTTAAATTTTTTCTGAGAATAAATCTTATCATATGGCATCGTTTGACATATACTTAGTTCAATTTAAAATTCTAAAATCGTTTCCTTAAAAAATTTTTAAGTCCATATCTCAAATAAACTTCATAATCTCAAATTTGAAATCTTTTTTCTCAACTTTGCAATTAACTTGCATGCGGCGTCATTTAGAACAAAAATATCATAGAATAAAAAATTTGATAGGATTTGAAAGCAACAGTTTTAGGTTTTATATATATATATAATATATATATATATAAAGTGACCTTTTAGAAATCGATTTACAACGATATTTTTCTTTATGTCATTATCGATTATTTTTACATTATAGGTACTTATGGAAAATAGAAAGCCGCGCGCGCGCGCGCGGTGTAAAATTCCAAGCATATAAATAATAATAAATCATATAAATAATATTTTCATCAATTTTTTTATAATGGAAAACAATAATAATGCGATATAACTCCGCTCACAGCTGGAAATCACCCACAAATCGTTATCACTCGGCTTGTTCCATCCCACGCGCGTTCGCTACGTCACGTTTGTTTAGTTTAATCCGCTACCCTTCCAATCCCTCAGTCCACCATGGAGCAACATGAGGGTGACGAGAAACCTCCTTCTCCCTTCCCAGACGAACAAAAAGACAATCGTGGTTAATTGCCACGCACACTGTCCGATCACTTGTCACTCGTGATCCAATAGCCGGAGTCGGCGAATTCCATCGCCATTGTCCCTCTAGTCGCGTAGACGGTACGCGCGCGGCAGAGAAATCGGACGGGACTGTCAGAACTCGGGGGACAGTGTCGCGAAGAAAGTGATAAGAAAAAGGACGACGATTCCATAGAGTGACCGTGCGGCGGATGTATTAATTGTGATCGTCGCTATTTATTTGCTCTCCTTTCCTTCCGCAAATCTCATCGGAAAAATTGCCATGGCGGTCAGGTACGTGTTACGGTGCGACAACAGTAGAAACAGCGTATCTTCTCGTCTGTTGAAAATCATACCGATGAAGGCCACGACCGATGATAAGTAGTTTTTATACGCTACGCGAATTTTTCGCGCGCTCCAAGTGATAAGAATGTAAAGGATCAACGAATGCAGTGTCAAATTCGTTGTTGTAAGATGTAACATTATTTTTCTTATGAGCCATAAAAGAGTAAAAGATATTTCATACAACACTACTTCCTCTAATTTCAGAATGCGTTATTCTACGTATTTTTTAACAAAATAAAAAATTATGAAAAAATTATAAATTTTTCTATATTGTACTTGAAAGTAATACAAAAAAAATGTAGAACATTTTTAAATAAAAAATTATTTTAATAAAAAGTAGATATGTTTTAAAAAAAATAGTTGAGATAAAATAAGAAAATTTAAAATATGTTTGTGTAATATAAGACTCAATAAATTTAATAATAATAGGAGAAAGGGCTACGAGCCACAAATTCGTTATTAACTAATATACGTAATCCCCCCAAAATTGCGCGCCGAACAATCGTTGGTCTTGAAATGCAACTCGAATAATCTAAACATACTGTAAATAATTAAATCTTTTAATTATTTCTTATATATTGCGAAGAATATTACATAATTTTGGCGTTTCGTCCCGGCTTCCACTACTGGACTCATCAGTATTGTAGTGAAAGAAAATTTAAAGTATGAATTGTATTGTGAAATATAAATATTGACCCTATCGAAATGTTTCATATACATATAACATTAATTTTTATACAAAAAATATATTGTTATAAATTTCCAACTCTAATCACTTTTTGCAAAACTACACATCTTAATTGCATACATTTTTAATGCATTTCAGTGATTTATTATTATTACCATAATTCACACTTAACGATCGGAAAAATGTGTTGACTGCGTTCCTTCCTAGAAATAGACATTAAACGTTATTAAGCTACATGCCCAAATTACATTGCTGGATTTAACAGTCTGAAGCAGAACAAGTTACGATAACGTCAAATAATATTAAAATGAATTATGATTAATCGAAAAATAACTTTTAATAATAATTAATCATTTTGGAGCCATTATAATGGAGCTATTTTAATGTCGTCATAACTTTGTTCTATTTCGATTATTAAGGTAATTACGATAATCGCACAAGAAATTTGAGAAAATAGGGCGATTGCACATCCCTAATATATCTGCATGTATGACACAATCAAGTGTTCTTAATATATATATGTATAGAACGTCTTGCAAGAAATCCGCTTAGGAAGTTTATTGCAATCTCCTTTCTTTCACGTTGTAACGCGAACGAAAGAAACGTGCTAATATTCGAAACTTTGCTTATTCCCCAGAGTGTGCGCGCGCGTTATTATGCAGCTTGTCATCGTTGTATCTGCATCCAATTTCATCGCCAATACCGATGCCAGTGTAGATCGTCGCGAGGAGTGGGTCGTCAGAATAGCAGGGGGCTCGCAAGTAGCGTCGCTATTAGCCGCTCAGTCCGGTTACAAACACCATGGTCCGGTAAATCCTTCTATTAATTTCGCGTAAACACGGCATGATGCAACAAAGTCTTTTCGTCTACGTTGTCGCATAATATTGCGAAAATTACGAAATGTATTATTACATTGCATTCGTATATTAAAAAAAAAAACGAGAAAATGGAATTGGTAACAAGAGACGCGATATACTGTAACATTTCCACTACTTTAAATCCTTAATTGCTACATGCCCCGAGAACGAGCAGAAACTGTGATACGTGATTCGGACGTGATTATATATATGTATCATTATATATATGTACAATTATTTAATCGGAAACTATATGATATCGCGAAATGATTTCCGATTTATACCTACCAATGTTATTAATTTTATATTCTTCCATTTCACTGATAAATCCCAAAGATAAAAAATTTATGTATCATTCAATACGTCACTGTTTAACAAATACTTAAAAATAGATTGATTTTATTCGGGGATTATCTCGTGGAAGATGACGTTCTATCAGACAGACATGTGACATATGGCGTGCAATAAGCCGCATTATGATATCAAGTCTAAAAGCATATGTCACATGTATTGAAAATATATAATTATATGCGTATTTTTTTATAAACAAAAAATATTTATTTAATTTTAAATAAAAAACATCTCTTTTTGCTTTATACGATTGCCCAAAAATTTATAAATTAAACATCAATTAAAGTTTATCATACGAGTATATTTTGCTAATTAAGCGTTTACTATTATATCATTTAATAACTTAATTAATTACTTAAACATATATATGTATGTATACATATTATATGACAAAATTATTGAAGTTTAGTCAATCTCTTTAATAAGTGTCTTTTAAAAAAGAAAATTTTATATTATATCTCAAAATTTAATTGTCAAATAATTGGCAAAATTGTATTATTATGTTTAATTGTCGTTAAAAGGTCAATTCTTAATTTAAAATTTCGTACATTAAAAGTTCCACATATAAAATATACATATGTATATATTACATAAATAATTTCATTCTATAATAATTTTTAAAAACCATCTATCTTTTATAAATCTTGTTTTAAGAAATATAAAAGTTAAGTTTTATATATATACATATATAATGTGAACAGAATAAAGTAAAACTTAGAATTGGATGTTGCAGAAATGGCTAACAATAAGTTATCAAACAATTGTACAACTTTTAATTGCATCCTACTGTTCTTCACTTTACTTCTAAAAAGGAGTTACAAATATCTTGACAAACTTATTCTTTGACTCACACAGCAAATGTCCGACAAAAGAAGATCTAATCGATTTTTTTTAGTTAACGGTAATAATGATTCGATATAAACATATATAACATCAATCAACGATTTTTAATAAATGTTTGCAAAGTAATTTTTAATGAATGTTTTGTAAGAAGAGAGCTAGAAGAAATTTAAGTTTTATTTAAATATAAAGATAACTTTAAATATTTTAGGCAAAGAAATTTCTGCAATTTAAAAATTGATAAAAGAAGCATAATTTTGTATTTAAAATAATTAAATAATTTTTAATATCTACTAAAAGACTAATAAAGTCGCGCAATGCAGCATAGAGATACACATGGATACCAAGGAATGCAGTTCCTGTGGAGATTAACAGCATCTCATGAAAGCTGTAAAAACTATTCCAATTTTGCGAAAAGTTTCCGTCGTATGGGTCCCATTCAGCTCGCAAATATAGTTCGGGAAAAAGGGATGTCCATCGTATGTGGAGAAATTATCATTTCGCTCGATTGAGTCTTTGAAAAGGCATTCGTACATATACCTCATCGCCTCCGAATCTGACCGAAAAGGGCGAAATGTGTTTTGGAGTTTCGGCGGCGTGGATATACGAGAACGGATATGCCGGCGGCCGCGAAATCATTTCCTTTGCCATACGGATGACTGCAAAGAGATTATCCCCGTAAACGGAGCCTCACGAGCCATTTGATCGCACGTTCATTCCGTTCCGTTCGCGTTCGCTAACGTCGCCTTTACCGCTCGCAGACGTCTCTCGCGCGGATCTCAGGCCTGGTGTACTTTGCAAAACGAGTTTCTCTGCGAGATCACCGCGAGAACCCGAGAGAAAATATCGGGACGAATAAGGCCGATATCGCATCTTTTTCCTTTTCCTTTGACAGGAACATCTCAGGCAATCGTCTTATTTTCATCCGTAGACGAGGAGCGCCGCCGAGTGCTCCCTGCAGTTTTCGATGCGTAATATCGGAAGACGAGGAGAAGCAGCAATACCAGTCCAATTTCCTAGGAATATCTCGTTAATCGTGTGTTAAATCGAGCAGCATATTGCGTACCATAGTGTGCTATTTTCATGCGGGTTAGTAATGCGTTTAGAATAACTCACTTTCGTAAACGTACATATAATCCATATGAGAGCGTGCAATTAAATTTTAAAACATATATCACGTAAGCAAAATTTAAAGGTTTGAGTTTTTATTTATCATTAATTATATCGGATTGTATATAAAGATTTTGAATATAAAATCATAGATGTTTATGCAAATTTACACTTGCATACAAATTAATATTTTTTTATCATGTATTTATTAAAGAAACAAGAGTCTAAAGCTCAATTTTACCGTTTGCAATAACTTGTAGATTTTTATACATATCCTAAGAACGCTACATACAAATCTTAACGTCCCCGTGCACAATAAACCGAAAACGAAATCGCAGTTGTAAAGTATTGCCGCTTACACCCGCAAACGATAGTATCTTTAGTTATCGTGCACTTTACACAACGAGTTTTGCCTCGTGTGCAAGAAGCATTGGTAAAATGATATCGTATCTTTTCCCTTTGACGAGGTAGTATACTATCGATGCTTTCTATCTGTCCCACGATACGTGTTTTGCGTCGTAAATGCTAAATCTACTTCTCTAAAAGAAAGAAAAAATATTTTAATAAGTCAAATTATGCGCTTTGTAAATTTCTTTTACAATATGTAAAATAAATATATATATATATAAAGAAATTATTTTTGAAAGAGCATAGATAATTTTAGTTTACATATCAACGATATGAACGAATTGTTTAACAAAAATCGGTTAATTTTAACTAAACTTTAATGATCTTTGTTTTTCTTAAATTTGATTATTTAAATACAGAAAGAATGATTTTAAAGAAATATATTAAACTAAAAGAGATATTAAGTTAATATTAAAAATATTTGCTTTAACCCTCCCAATTGCAATCTGAGTCCTTTTGTACAAGCTTTTTTTATTACTCTAGGCTTTTGAAAAATGTGAAAAGTTCAAGATTTAATTTTCGACATCTCTTACATTTACATTACCTAATAGATTTTTAAATCAATTGGTAAAATATTTATAATAATAAAAATTGAAATTTTTGCGGAAGAATAAAGAAAAATGTTAATTTGTTTAATATTATGACTTAGCAATAAGGACTTCAAACTAGTTTATTTTAAAGAAATTTGAGAATGAAAATTTTCGCTTGTGTCAAGAAGATTCAAATTGTAGACGGATGATTAAATATATTTTTAAAGAAAAGCAATAATTAATAATGGAAGAGGTAAATATTTAAATCTACGATCTTTTTGCGCATATAAATTTTTTAAAACTTAATGATTTAGAAGGGCTACAAGCCAAAACAATGTCGTTTAATTTCAAGTGTAATATGATAAAATAAAAATATAAATAAAATTATAAGCATTAAAATTTAAATCATATAAACAGACTAAATTTTTTAACGTAAGAATTTTATATGCCTCCAGTGCTATGTCTTTATTCCTAATTTATCAAATTGTTACTATATGTTTAACTGCCAGCATTGTTGAATACATTTTCTTAACGCGATCTGTCATAATTATATAAATATAATATGTAAATTGCTTTTTCAACTTCTAAACATCTTCAGACGTTTTCTTTTTAAGTGTGATACTTTTAGCCGAGAAACTACATGCTACATGCGAAAGGAATCACGAGGGACCGTACTGCAGCAACTGCAACTGCCTCGCCAAGCACGCGGTCTACCGCAATCCGCGAGCGAGCGCAATGCGTGAGATTGCTCTTAGGTTGTCTGTAAGTGCATATATCTAGCGCGGTTACGACATGTAATTATTTCATATAATTAAGCCCACTCGTAACGACCAACCAAGAGTACGCGATGTAACCGCGATGTTAACAGGCCGAATGGAAAAGTGATGAACGCATTTCAAAGAGCTTAATTGCCCACGCAAAGTTGTACGTGTCTCATAGGGTATTCTATAATTTACAGCATTTATTATCATTTAAGCCTATTCTTTAGTCTGCATCGCCGTGTACTGTTAATTTATTTACTTATAGTGAATTAATTAATATAGCTAATTAATTAATAACAATTATAATTAATTTAATTCACGCAAAAACAATTAATTTTTTTTCGTCTTAGAATACATATACAAAAAAAATTAATATCACAAAATCAATTAATAATAATTGTTAAGACATTCATATATTAAAGCGATCGGACGTGGCAATTTATATGTTGTCAAAGTATGTGACAAAATGACATTTTATCAACGAGCTAAGCTGGAAACCTCCATGACTTGTTTCTCATTATCGTACATCTTACGCACCATCTTCTATTATAAAAGGCCGAGATTGCTCAATCAAGACCGAGCCTCAGGGCAAATTGAAATTTGGTTATCGAGAATCTGTTATAGAACTGTCGGAATGAATTTCCCGACATTAATTTTCCTGCCGACAAACAAAAACGGTTTCTTTATTTTAAAGGCATAGCGGCATGGATATTTAGAGATGGAATTATTGTGACGAAATATTGTCATCGGAATAAATTGTCAACAGCACCTGTTTTTATTAAAATAAACTATTTTAGATATATTTACTAAATATTTTATATAAACAATGACATATATTTCTCTTAGTAATTTCGTAATTCTAAGTAATAAATATTTTATATATTATTATAATAAATTTATCTTTACACATCTTGTTTTATTTTAAACTTTTGTTTAAGAAATATTATCCACA